CTTGCCCTTACAAACCGCTTGGTTCAACTCCACAATCTTGACGGAGGCTCCCAAGTGACACCTAACCAATCTAGGAGACACCACTCTCCAAAAGGTAATAGATGGTGTGTTGATCATGAACTCCTTGCTCTTGTGCTTCAAATAATAGTCTCCCCAACACTCAACTCTCTCTCACATATTTGGATTTCGTGGAAAGATGATTTGAGTGGAAAGCAACTAGGGGAAGGCTAGAGATCAAGATTCTTGTGGTTGGATTAGAATATCTTGGTCTCACACATGAGTAGGTGGTTCTCTCTCAGAAAATGAATGGTGGAATTATAGGCACGTTCTGATAGCTCTCTCCACAAATGGAGAATGGGTGGAGGGGTATATATAGCCTCCACACAAAATCTAACCGTTACACACAATTTACCAAACTCGGTGGGACCGAATAGTTAAAATCGGTCAGACTGATTTAGTTTAAAATGTGAATGTTAGGATTTTTGGTGGGACCGGCATGTCAACTTGGTGGGACCGATTTCATTAGTGTTAGGGCATAACGTAATCTCGGTGAGACTGATCACATGAACTCGGTGAGACCGATTTCTGTAATAGGCAAACCGAGAGTTGGTCAAGCAAACTCGGTGGGACCGATCGCTCATTTCGGTGAGACTGAAACGTTACGAAAAGGAAACAGAGAGTTTGCAATCTCATCTCGGTGAGACCGAGATCCCTATCGGTGAGATCGAACTGATTAGGGTTTCTGGCTATGGCTATGCCAAATGAACTCGGCGGCGCCAGATAGATCAAATCGGTGGGGCTGAGTTTGACTTGTGGTTTGGGACAAATGTGGATATTAGAAAGTGGTTGAGGGCTTTTGGAGCATATCACTAAGCATTTTGAGCAAGCAAGCCATTAAGCAACACCTCATCCCCTTTTAATAGTATTGGCTTTTTCCTATGGACTCAATGTGATCTTGGATCACTAAAATGAAAATGTAGAGACTTGAGCTTGAGCCAATATGTGTCCTTAGCATTTAGAGGGGTCCACATCTCTAGTCCATGCCATGCCAATCATTGAACTTTTTGAAATGATCATCTTGAAAGAGTATTAGTTCAATGAGCTATATGTTGTTAAGAATTACCAAAACCACCCAGGGATTAGTTGCACTTTCAGAAACCCTAGCCCCGGAGAAAATGGGGGATGAACACAACCCTCTCACTAGGCTCCAGAGTGGGGATGACCTGATCCTTGTCAGGGATCCTATGCACGATATCCGTGGACAAATAGCCCGTGCTCCGGAGGTCCTTGACGTCCTTTTCAGTGACGGAGGAGGCCTCCCACTTGCCCTTGGAACCAGACCCGACCATTGCTGGGGAGGGTGGAAGCGGTGGAGAAGATCGGAGCTATGAGCGCTGGAGCTTGGAAGTTGGAAGATAGGAGCTAGAGGAAGGCGTTGGGAAAAAGGAAAGATCTTTATCCTCTTATAGATGGTGAAAATACCAAACGTCCCCCCTCTCAGGCCATAAAACTCGGTTGTTCCCAATGAGATCATGCGTAATGCGCGATTGGGTTACCCAAACCATATTGATGAGAATACCGTGATGGGCGGGCACGATCTCTGATTTGACAAGACGTGTCAATGGAGGCTAAGCCTCGAAACGCGAAATGGGAGGCGTGAAAACAGTTCAAAATGTTAAAGAGTCAAGTGTGACGCTTCGCCGAAAAAGTTGTCAGTAAAAGACACTATACTTATTTTGACGTCTTGCCTTCGTGACTAAGGGCTGTATTGATTATGCGGAGCTGGACATTGTTCCTTTATACAGGAAGCTAACTTAAAACATCTAGGAGAAGGAACCCGCCTTGCAATGCCGAAGATAATCCACGTGCCAAACACATCGTCATCAAAGACTGGTTCAGGGGCTACTGAGGGAGTCCTGGATTAGGGGGTCCTGGGGTATTCGGTCTGTTCGATATGGGTCGGACTGATGGGCCGTGAAGATAAAGCAGAAGACTATCCCCCGTGTCCGAATAGGACTCCTATGTGCATGGACGGCAAGTTAGGTGTCAAGATGTATTATTTCCTTCCCTTGTAAATCGACTTTGTACAACCTTAGGCCCTTTCGGTGTATATATAAACCGTGGGGTTTAGTCCATAGAGGCTATCAGAATAATCATAGGCTAGATAGCTAGGGTTTAGCCATTACGATCTCGAGGTAGATCAACTCTTGTAACCCTTATACACATCGAATATAATCAAGTAGGACGTAGGGTTTTACCTCCTTTAAGAGGGCCCGAACCTGGGTAAAACATTGTGTCCCTTGTGACCCTTGTTACCATCGATCCTCAGATACACAGCTTGGACTCCCTACCCGAGATCTGCCGGTTTTGACACTGACAACGGGGTTGTCGGAGTCGGCCATGGGGCCTGGCGGTGGCCAGTGGGCGGCACGTGGGAGCCGGTGGGAGTTGGGCGGGCAGATGGAAGTTTCAGATTCAGATTTTGCGGTTGGGGTTTGGCACGTGGCTTGGTGTTTTACATCACCATGCAAATTTGGATCTCCAAGTGTTGTATTTTACATCACTTGGAGGAGGTTCCACCCAAAGTTCCCGGACAGCTTTGTCAGCACCCTGAAGCCGGTCTTGCTCTTAGAGACCTTCTTTAGCGTCATGGTGGTGGTACAGGTGCGGCTTCTAGACGACCGACGAAGTCGAGGCGCACAACGACAAAAAAATCGAGCAATGGTATGATACGTCTCTAACGTATCTATAATTTTTGCTTGTTCCATGCTGTTATATTATCATTTTTGGATATTTTACAATCATTTTATTGCAACTTTGTATCATTTTTTGCGACTAACCTATTGACATAGTGCCCAGTGCCCAGTGCGAGTTGTTGTTTTTGCTTGTTTTTTACTTCGCAGAATATCAGTACCAAACAGAGTCCAAACGTAGTGAAACTTTTTGGAGAATTTTTCTGGGCCAGAAGACACCTGTTGGGCTAAAGAAGTACCACAGGGGGCTCCGAGGGGAGCACAACCCACCTGGGCACGCCTGGGGGCCCAGGCACTCCTTGGTGGGTTGTGCCCAGCTTGGCCGCCTCCCGCACCGCCTCTTTGCTTTATAAATACACTGAAAATCCAAAACCCAAGGGGAGTCGACGAAACACAATCCCAGCCGCCGCAAGTTCCAAAACGACCAGATCTAATCTAGACACCATCACGGAGGGGTTCATCATCCTCATTGGTGCCTCTCCGATGATGCGTGAGTAGTTCATTGTAGACCTACGGGTTCGTAGTTAGTAGCTAGATGGCTTCCTCCCTCTCTTTTGATTCTCAATACAATGATCTCTTGGAGATCTATTTGATGTAACTCTTTTTGCGGTGTGTTTGTTGGGATCTGATGAACTTTGAGTTTATGATCAGATCTATTTTATCCATGAAAGTTATTTGAGTTTCTTTGATCTCTTATATGCATGATTACTTATAACCTCGTATTTCTCTTCGAATCTTTGGTTTAGTTAGGCCGACTATATCAATTTTTTTTGCCATGGGAAGAGGTGCTCTGTGATGGGTTCGATTGTGCGGTGTTCTTTCCAAGTGACAGAAGTGGCAGCAAGACACGTATTGATCGTTGCCATTAAGGATAACAAGATGGGGGTCTATTCCTACATGAATAGATCTTGTCTACATCATGTCATCGTTCTTATTGCATTGCTTCGTTTTTTCATGAACTTAATACACTAGTTGCATGCTGGATAGCGGTCGATGTGTGGAGTAATAATAGTAGATGCAAGTAGGAGTTGGTCTTCTAATCTTGGACGTGGTGCCTATATAATGATCACTGCCTGGATATCGTCATAATTATTTGAAGTTCTATCAATTGGCCAACAGTAATTTGTTTACCCGCCGTATGCTATTTTTCTCGAGAGAAGCCACTACTGAAAGCTACAGCCCCCAGGTCTATTCTTTATCATATTTGCTTTGAGATATATTTTTATTTGCTTTTGCTTTCAGATTTATTATTCTAAAAATCAAAAATACCTTGCTGCACCTTTTCTTTATTTGTTTTATTTTCTTTCATCGCGAGATCTATTTATTCAAAATCATACAAACCAATCTATCTTTTACCCGAGAGGGTGACAACCCTTCTTACGCGTGGGTTGCAAGTATTTGTTCTTTGTGTGCAGGTACCATTTACATAGTGTTGCTTGGTTTTCCTTTTGGTTCGATAAACCTGGTTTCATAACTGAGGGAAATAACTACCGTAGCTGTGTTGCATCATCCCTTCCCTTCCTCTTCGGGAAATACTGATGCGGACACGAGCCATCATGGTACGGCGGCGATCGAGCGGGTGCGACTTTCAGGGCAGAGATGCTCCATACCGCGCTGCGGCGATGGAACTCCAAACGCGGCAGATCTGAGGCGTGGGGCGGCGAAAAAGTGGCGGCTCCGGCGACGGCAGGGGTGAGGAGGCTGGAGGCTGTGAGGGCGATGATGCAGAAGCTTGAATCCCGTGGCGGCGGCGGAGCGGCGGAAATGCGGCGGATACGACAGCGGCAGGGGGGGAAGGTCGGATCTGGCGGCGATGGAGTGCAGCGGGTTCCGGTGGGCGGGCGACATGGTGGGTAGCGGTCGCGCGGTGGGTACGAAAAGTGAGGCACTGTCAGTTTGGCGTTTTAGGCTGCTAGCCGTTTTACATCTGGCGTGGTCAGGTAATGTATATTTACATCACTTGTGATACATTTTACATCAGATGTATACATCTGATTAAAAAAAATTGCATCTACATCATGGAGAGACGTTTTTGAGATGTATATTTCGATTTTTTTTACACGAGAACATGGTGTAGTCAGAAAGCATTTCCTTTTTTTTACACGAAGAAAAGGATAAATGTCGAAAAAGGCGTAACAAAAGCTTCGCCCCCTTTCCCCCAATGGCGCAGTCGGCTCACTCTCACACGAGCACTCGCTTACCCTAGCTTCAACGCCAGCGCGCTCCTCCGCTTCCCTTTGTTCAACGATGGCGTCCACACCGCCGCCGGTAATCGGCAAGGCGGGAAACCTCACTGTCTTCATCACGCCCCCGGCCACGCCGCCGCCAGTGGATACCCCGACCTCTCGTTCGGCCGAGTCGCCAGGATCTGAGTTTTCCACCCCCAATTCCACTCCCCGTTCGGTGGCGTCTCCTGCGTCCCCGCCGCCGGAGCATATAGCCACATCGCCTCCGCCGGCCAAGATGGTCTCGCCGCCTCCGCCGGTCAAGACGGTCTCCCCGCCACTGCCGCCAGCCAAACTGTTCCAGGCCTCGCCAGTGCAGGTACCTCCGCCGCAGTTCGAGAAGGCAGAGTCGAGGACGGATGGATCGGCGTTCGGGTTCTTCTGGGACGCGGTTTTGCGCGTGCAAGAAGGTGACCCGGGAGAGTGTTTGGTGCGTTAAATTTCTATAGTCTTTTGATATGTGGTTTTGATCTGTGTGTTTTTCCACTCCATGTGCAGCGCACGCAAGCTTGGATGAGTACATTTCGAATTGGTTCGGGCTGGATCAATCCAAGTACCAGTGGGCGCTCAACGACTATTACGAGAGCACCGGAAAGGTTCTTGCCTTCACTTTCAACTCTAAAATTTGTGCTTCTCTTGTATTGTTACGCTCACCCGATTGTCTGATCTGTATCCCGGACTTCGATTAGATGCAAATTTACGGTGATTTGGGGTAAACTCAGCGAAGATCCATATCTCCTGTGCGTCCAACTGAACTGCACTGTCCATGCTTCTGTACGGAACTGGAATGCTGTAGCTTATTCTTGTGAGGCTAATTCTTGGTGGTAGACAATTAGCTGTCACCGGTTGTGATCATGTGTGTGATTTAGTGCCATTTAAGGTTTGCAAAATGTTGATAGAGACGTGCTGTCTGTTCGGTGCTGTGCTGCCAAAAGCTGTTTTGGGGAACATTTGCAAGTTGCAATGCATTTGAATGGTGGTTGTGCTTTAGGGCGTCCCCTTTTTTTAGGTCAGATCACTTAGTAGTCAGCTGTTTCTTCACTTTTGTTAGTGTTTTGTAGAATTTTTCTGTCAGAGTGTTTTTATTGAACTTTTCTGTCAGTGTTTTTAATCCATGATGTATTCTACGGCATCTCTTTCTTTGTGGATGTAGTTACGGCTTTCTTTTGGTGGTCCACCACGTTTGGGCTTGATTAAGTATTCATGGTAAGAGTTGTAAGCGTGTGTTGGTTTACATTGGATTCTGCAGCTGTGACTTGTGCCTTGATGGTTATGACTTGTATAGCTTTATTGATGCCTCAAATGGGCCTTTGTCATATATGGTAATGGTTGTACTTGAAAATGAATTTGAGATGCCATCCATCATGCTGGAGGATGCTCAAATTACGAATTATAAATTCCAAGTGAGGTACAGAAAGCTTCCTCTCCTAGAGAAGCTGCTGATTGATCTTAAAATAAGATAACTGTAATTTCCACACTATGTGTACTCGTTCTTTTGAGACTCACCCGTCCTCCACACTTTGAAACTTGACATTGCTACTAATATGTTAATTTTTTTCTTAATAATTTCTATTTTTTACCAGCCTGTAGACGGGGATTAGGTCATAAAATTGAATTGCTATTTAAGGCCACCCGTGCCAATTAGTAAAATAGTAAGAAGTTGTTATCATGTGATTATGTCCATTTTTATAGTAGAGTTAGTATGCATCAAGATGTGACAGGCTTGCTCTTTCTTGTTATTGGCTTCTTTATTGTGGTATAAGCACATTGCTGATTTTCAACAAAAAAGTACCTTTTGGTTATTTAGAATGATGCTAGGCACAAATTCGTGGTTGAATATTGGATGTTGTGAATTGGGAGTAGTACCTTTGTACTATTAGACCAAGTGTGACCTTCCGTTTGAAGTCAGTGAAAAATGTCAGGAACGGTTTATGCCCATGCATGTTATCTACCCATTAAAGCTCCTTACAGTTATAGCTGCATGCTATTTTTGTTCAAAACTCGTGGAGTGTGTATGTAAAAATCATTTATTGACATCATCTGTATTTGATTCTGTATCAACTTGCAGTAGCAGTTGGTGTTGTTCTGTCTTTTTTTGGGCCAGTTTGAAGCATGCAAAACCTTTCATCACAATGTCCCACAGACTCTTTGTAAATCGGATTTTCTCACATGGTAATTTCATAGGAGAATTGTAGGCCATCAAATTGGATTTTTTCCACTAGGGCTTCTTTCCACCCTATGATCTCTCCACTAAACCCAATATGAAAAGTTCTGGAAAAAAATTGAAAACCGTCATGGATGTTCATGAAGACATGAAAAGTACACTAACAAATTGCTATTCGGACACAAAACTTGTTTATTTTGAGTATGGCGCATTGGTGTGGGCCTAGATCCACAATGGGATAACTACGGTGCTGAAGACAGCCAGACATTGTGGCTGCAAGGGATTGGGTAGACATTCGTTGAGTTGGGAAACCGGTAGAGAGTAGGTTGATTGTTCTTGCGTGTCTCAAACATAGATTCATCCTTATATAGTGGATGCTAAAGTCCTTTTCCTTTCCTAACACAATGTAGACTCCTAATAGACTAGACTTCAATCTTAAAGCGTCCTGTTACTCCAATACACCCATAGCATTGGCTTCTTGTTGGCAGGCCGGCTGCAACTAAGTACCGAACCACCATATGCTGTTGTCCATAACACTACACCCCACCTGGACAAGCAGCTTATCCTCAAGCTGCAGGTGGTGGCCATGGTTGCAGCCCACTGTACCCCCATGTACATGGAAGGTTGTGGCGCAGGTGCCTTGTATTGTAGATGTGCACATAACTAAAATTTATTTTTGGTTTGCTTACTTTTACTTCCTGCCAGCTTTTTAGAAACCAAACTAATGGCTCCTCCGATGCTTGTTTAGTACATGACCCATGGAAAACTTGTTTTGCGGAAATACCTCTTATTGGCAAGAAATATGGAGCCTCCTTTCCTTTGATGCAGGAAATCCACATCGTCTGGCATATATCTTGCAAATCTCCAGGATCGAATGCATACATGCAGCTTCCTCTTTCCTTTTCTAGTACGGTAAACAAGTCCAAGTAGGGACGTTGGTTTCTTCTTCCTCATGATCCTCAAGCCGAATAAAAGTCCATGGCCATGGGCATGATTCATCCAAATTGCTGGCAGGTGCCAACCCAGAGATGTCTTGCGTCTGGTTGTCTCTGCAAGAACCGTTGATTTTAAGTTTGCCAAGGCAGTTGCTGTCGCTGCTGTTATGTCTACCACAGCTGCTGCATCTAGCTTTCCTGCTGTTAGTTTGGCTGTACCTGCCTCTGCCGCACTCCATGCAACTGTTTTAGTGCTTAAATGCGTTTGCTTGTGGCGGTTGATCTGTTGCTGCTTGTGCCTTTGAAGCCTCTGCTGCTTCTTGCTCATGGGCCGCCAACACCACTGCATTATGTCATGCCACCTCTGTCAACTTGGCTCTGTCAATGTAGCACTGCTCAATATAGGGATTAACTTAGTATCAAGTTCACAACAGCCGTCGTAGGTGTTGCAACCTTGTCAACTCCTGAAAGCTCGTGCTGCATCATGGTCTAAACCATATTTGATGGAGATCATGATCTTTGACTTTACTGGAAAGATTCAATTGTCTCCCCTGCTCCATAAGGATCAAAGACTTAGTGAAGCACATTGTCTGTAATAGGGTAGATACCATGCTGTATCATGACGCGAGTGATCCTTCATGACATCATCTTGGCAGCAAAAGCCATTGTGGTCTGCTCTGATACGAAATTTTGTGGTCTAGATCCACAACCGGATAACTGCCATGCTGAAGCATGGGATTGTGTGGACATAGGGTTTATTTTGAGAGAGTAACTGGGAGAGGTTAGAAGGGGAGCCTTGGCGCTGTGGTAAAGCTGCTGCCTTGTGACCATGAGGTCATGGGTTCAAGTCCTGGAAACAGCCTCTTACAGAAATGTAGGGAAAGGCTGCGTACTATAGACCCAAAGTGGTCGGACCCTTCCCTGGACCCTGCGCAAGCGGGAGCTACATGCACCAGGTTGCCCTTTTTTTTTTTAACCGGGAGAGGTTAGATTGATTGTTCTTGCTTGTCTCAGGCATAGATACATGACATCCTTATATAGTGGATGCTTAGGTCCCATTTCCTTTAGTAACACAATACATACTCATAATAAACTAGAATCATTCAATTCTAAACATCCTAAAAGACTCTCCCTTCAGTTTGCTTGCTGTTGCATGTGCTTGATCAACAAGTGACCTCCTGTTACTGCAATACGTTCATAGCATTGACCTTCCTGCCATCCAGGCCAGTTGCAACTGAACTACCATAAACTAACATCCTCAACACACTTGCAGCCATATATGTGCACCAAAATTTGCAAATATCCGTGTACTAACATGATAAACATCTCTGAACATAACTGCGAGGATAATTGGAGTGGAGGTGCAGCAGCTGATGCATTTGCTGTACAGGGCATTGCCAATATTACAATGTTGCAAAATTAATTTGCTTTAGTTGTTGGATGTCACACTAGTCCAAGTGTATTGTTATAGTGATAAAAGGGGAAATATTATGGTTTTACCAGAATTCTCTGATTGAAAGATGTGTCTACAATATGAATTCGTTTTTAAACTAGGGTGTTTTTGCTGCAGCCTTAATTTATGTGAATTGAGCTGTTAAATTTAGGTAGAAAGATATCTCTGAAAGATGTAATTTTCTATTATAGGATGATGATAGTGTCTGTTTGGACTTGCAGAAACTATTTCTATAATTGTTTAGACACAGGAAAAATAAAATGCCATACTCTGCGTCTCGTACTTTAACTACCTTAAGCGCCAAGTGCAATTCAGCACTTCAGATTGGTCATAACATGATAAAATTTGTAGTTGCCTCTCTAGATTCTATCTTCACTGGTTTCTTACAACCACGTTTGTGTAATTGCCAAATTGGTTCTGCATTTGTGCTGTGACTATTATACAGAAAACCATTGTTTATGCATTCCCATATGGTGTACCCATGATGAGTAAAAGTGTCATCAAATGAAGAAATAGAACTAGAATTTTACCGGTTATTTTGTTCCGTAGGTCTGTATCCAAGATGCATTGTTTCATGTTCATGATATTCACCACTGGATACAATACCGAATTGAGTTTAGCTTATTGATTTTAAAAGTAACATTATTTTAATTTTGTTCTCCAGTTAATTAACATTTCCCTTGTAATTATGTTCTCCAGTTAATTAACATTTCCCCACTAATTATTGGCAGGAGATGGATTCGGGCAAGGCTGCAAAGACAACGGAGCTTAGTGGTAAGATGCAGAAAGTGTAGTGATATATATTTACGCGCTTGTCGGTAGCCAAGCTGCTATGTGTAAAGTTGGATTTGGAAGTGCATGGAAGCATGAAGGTCGTTGCCTCTTTTGCTACAACTAGCAGGATCAATCTGCCCGTGTCAAGGTATCAAGTCAGTCAAATTAACGAGTGTAAGCAATTTATTTGCTTCCTAAATTGTAGTCCTATAATCCTTTTCTGTTTGTATCGTGGAACACATTATATTTGCAATGGCAAGCATTGATCTGTTAGAATGTTTGCTTGTGCAGTTCATAGGGTGACAATTTTAATCTGCATTATCCATGTCACATTTGACCGAAATGAAGGTACATTTGTGTTGTATCCGTGCAAAAAGAAGGTTATCTATCTGCTTTCGTGTCTTATTCAACTATTAACAATCTTACAAAATGTAGCCGAATCAATGATCTGTGCTGTTGTACCTGAATTCATCTTATTTTTGGGCCTAACGTAACTAATGGACATCTGATCTGTGCTGCAACTACGCAGCTATGGTGATACTAGATGCAAAGTGAAATTAACATAAAATTAGTAAATAAAATAACTATGTGGTGTATGTGTATAAAGAGTAATTAAATCTCACATTACGAGATTAATACTCTCTGAATATTGGGATTGAGTGATAGCTATATTCATATCTGATACTCCTATGTTCTCAAATACTCGGACAAACATGAATAGAACCCCAAGATATAAATCTGTTATTACCAGGTTAGATGGTTTTGATGCATACTTGTTTCAGTAATCAATTCGATTTCCTTCTTATTTCTTATGATTTTCCTCACTTCTTCAGAAGGCAGAGGTGAGGGGAGGTCTAGCGTGTAATATTTCCTCATGACAAATTGAAAATTTCATTTAGTAAAAAAAAAAACATTTTCCCTATTGGTAAAACGCCTCGCACCTGGACTTTACTCCACAGGGATGAAAGGTAATAGAAGAAGAGGAGAAAGGAAAGATTGAGAGAAATTGACTAAGTACTCCCTCCGTTCCTCACAACACTTATTTTGGAAGTGTAGTAGTATATTTTAGTTTGAGAGTACTTGTACTTCTCACGCCTGACCACTTGTCCATCGTGACGTGGCAAGGATCGGACCCCA